TCTCCAGGTTTCCTGCAGCCCCTTTAGGCACTGGAGCTGCTCTAAGGTCTCCCCTTCAGGAGCCTTCTTTTCTCCAGGCTGCCCCAGCCCAGCTCTCAGTCTGGCTCCAGAGCAGAGCTGCTCCAGCCTTTTGCATGATGGGCTTCAATAGTTATCTGATGATAACTGTTAAATGAAAACAACATGCAAAAAAGCCAAATAAATCAGCTGAATTAAGATGACTTTAGTGGGTGTCTGTGATAGTCCCAATTTCTTGTGTGTTGCAGATGATTTTTATGTTCTGGTTGGTTAAATTCAGCATGGAAGCCTCAGCACGAGGTGTTTTGGTTTTTCTTACACTGCCATGTGTAATGGTGAAGTGTTTGTAATCACATATTGCTTCAGGATCCTGATGCGCAGGTGAGAAGGGCAGGTGAGGGTTAATTTGGACACAAACTGGTCTGAGGTGGTGGTAGATAGTGGGAAAATAGTTTTAGGAGAGAGATCTGGAGAAAAGATCTGTTGTGATCCAGGAAGGACAGCAAAAGACAGTACTTTCATGTTTTTCAAGAGGGAGAAACTGATGGTTGGGAAGGTCCTGGATTTCAAAGAGACAATACATACTGAAGTTAAGAACTCTGCAAGGAATATCAGTCACCATAGAATTAACGACTGGTTTGAGATGAAAGGGACCTTAAATTTCACCTAGGCCCACTTCCCTGCAATGGGCAGGGACACCTTCCACTAGAGCAGGTTGCTCCAAGCCCCATCCAACCTGGCCTTGAAATAAGTCTAAGTAGTCTAACCAAGAATTATTATTAGTGAAGATCTAGTTAATATAAGTGAAGAACAAGACCCACAGTGAACACCACTGTGAAAATTGATGAGCTTCATACCAGTTTCTTGAATCCCCACCAGTGAGGGTCCTGCTGTTTGGTGGCTCCACATCACAGTTAAGCGCTGAACCCAGGATGCTCCAGCCTGCTGGGGGTTGTTACGGCGAGTCATCAGCATCCCTGGCTCTTTTCTTGGCAGTGCGTAGTTGGTCCCTGCAGGGCTACACACTGAGGATGTGTGTGTCAGAACCTGACCGGCACATTGGTCTCACCCAGGAAGTTAATGCTTGCACCCTGCTCAGGATGACAGGGGAGCTTCAGGCTGGGACACGGGGCAAAGGGAAGCTCAGCCCTGGCTGTGCAGGAGGGGAGAGCCTGGCCTGGAGGTTATGTTTAGGTGGAAGACTCTGGTTATTTCAGAACCGCTTGAGTTGTAAAAGCCACGATGGTTGCTGAACAACAGGAACAGCAGCAGCCAAGGGCAGTGGGAATCCTACAGTGTTCCTGTGGAGCTGGGCTGTGGCTGTAGGTCGAGCTCTGACACGCACGGGAGAGACATGGAATTCCAGGTCCTTGTACAGTACCAGAACCACTCCCATCTGTAGCAAACAGATGGTTTCTTATTAAACACAGCCCATGGATTATTTGTTTCCAAGTTCTGCCTTATGGGTGTCTGTGGGAATTGCTGATTTTTCTGTTTATTTAATTTTGCTCTCTTTTCACATGTGTTTTCAGGGTCACCCCCGGGTGATGGATTTCCTGATCGTGTTTGGCGCAGGATATCCAATTGTTTGATGAGAATGTGGTTTTCAAAAGGAAGGCTGTGGCACAGTCACTGTAAGAGATGCACTAGGGTTTGTCTGTGTGTTGGGCATGGGCAGAGCTGTCATCTGAAGCTGCACATTTGAGAGATGATTTGTGTTAATTTTTTAAATTGCTGTTATTTGTTATTTTGGAGCAGTACCAGGTTTAGCTTTGGGATGAGATGTTATCCCACACATAGGCATCTATACATCACAAGACTGATGATGCTCCTAAGTGCCTTTTTCCTTGCTATATACATTGTGCTTTACCAGTCAGGGGTGTAGGAGACGCTGCAAGTGGGCTTCTCCATCTGGTCCAACCATTGGTCTCCCACTGTGGCAGCAACATACCTGTCATAGGAACACATAAGTAATGAGCTTGTACCCAGTTCCCAGAGAGTTCCATCCTCTTTACATACAGCACAAGCCCGGCCCATTTTGCATCTGTTTGCAAAGTATGTAACAAATGCACAATAATCATCTCAACAAAGTTGTTCATATTGGAAGTACCACTGAGCTGAGCTGGGGACCAGATCCAGCATTCACTGTCTGCAGTGAGACTCCCACGGTCAGTGACTGCTGGATTGTGTTAGACCTTCAAGAGACAATGGCCTTAGTTTAACAGTCTGTTAGGGCTGGTGCTGACACCAAAACTACCCACCGGCCTTTCTCTGTTGCTGCCTCAGTATTGCGTGCACTGAGCCTGATGCAGTCTGTGCTGGGAACCAGACCTTGGACTGGGGCCATCAAGACAAGGAGAACAGAAGCTAACATTTTTTGGGTAGAGGATTTCAGGCAGAGCAGATCCCCAGCCCTGCTCCTGCCATATTCCTGCTGGTGTCAGCATGCAGGAGTCAGCCAGCCAGCACAGGGACAGGGCACCTTGCATGGGGGAATCACAGCATGGCGCAGTACCCACGGAACAGGTCCTGGCTGTGGCAGGCAGATGGACTGGCAGAGGTGCTGCTCACTGGGGAGAAAAGGGAAGCCGTCCTCCCCATGGGAGATCAGCCCCTTCCCTGCTGGCAGGACACCCTGGGAACCTTGCAATAAGAAGGATGGGTCCCAGTCTCCTCCTAAGCTAGAGTGTCTTCCAAAGGGTGCCAGGGCTGCGCAGCAATGCCACTCAGTGGAGTCAATGGGTCCGCCAGGAAATCCTACAGCTGCACTGAGATAGGGGGGCTTGCAGCTTTAGCCAGTAAGCAGCAACGGCCTCCAAGCAAGAAACAGAGAAACAGAGGAGAAACAGAAGGCAGCCACACAGATCTGTCTGCTCACCTCTTCTTTTTACTTCCCACGTGCTTTCGGAGGGGCTGCTTTGGGTTGGTGCTTTGGTTTAGACATGGGAGCTGCCGGTCTGTGACACGTGCTGCTTCTAAAGTGGGAGCTTCCCAGAAGTGAAACACTGTGCTTGAGGAAACTCAGAATTTCCACCCTGAACAAAACTGGCCCCGACGTGCCTGGAGCCAGTCAGGAGAACAGGAGCATGTCCTGGCTCTTCCTGCATTTCCTCCAGTCCACTCACACCCAAGGGACTGTAGTCTCGAGTTTTCGGAACCAAACCCTCAGGAAGTGTTGACCAGCATGGTCTGTAATGCTGAGCAAACAGATGATGTCATGTTCTATCTAACAGAGAAAATCCTCAGAGAGCATCGCACAGGTCACCTGTGAGGTGCTGGAAGAGTTGTTTAAACAGGCTGAGTGTGCCCATTCCTTGTCAGATAACTGCATGATAAAAGAAGATACAGGAACACTTGCAATGGCAGAGTACGTGACCAGGCAGTACAACAGCTACATTGAGCAAAGCACTGATGTCTGCGCAGCACAAAGCAGGCATCCCGGGTGTTGGAACTGGGGCTGAAGAGACAAGCAAGGAGAGGTTGGTCTTAGTGTAATGGAGAAAACATCATTGCTCTTGAGAGCATTCGATGCACAAGTGCTAGGTCTGGCATGAGGGGTGACAGGAATGTGCTTCCTGGACAGAGACAGGGTGGGATTTCAGAGTGCCTGGAGGTCGTCTCATCCAACCCCTGCCCAGGCAGGGCCTCCTAGGCTGCCCAGGACCATGGCTGTTTGGCTTTGGAATATCTCCATGGGTGGAGACCCTACAACCTCCTTGGGCAACCCATGCCAGTGCTCAGTCACCCTCACAGGAGAATCTGCTTCCACATGCTGAGGGAACCTCCTGTGTTTCAGTTGTGCCCCTTGCCTCTGGTCCTGCACTGGGAACCGCTGGAGCCTGTCTCCATTCTCTTTGCATGCCTCTTTTGGGTATTGACACACATCAGTCAGGCCCCCCTGTGCTTTTTCCATGCTGAGCAATCCCAGTCCTCTCAGCCTTTCCTTATAGGGCAGATGTTCCAGTCCCTTCATCTTCATAGCCCTTTGATGGACTCTCTTTAGTATGTCCATGTCTGTCTTGTACTGTGGAGCCCAGAACTGGTTGGTGGTCACCAGTGCAGAGGAATGATCACCTCCCTTGACCTGCTGGCAGTGATCCTCTTAATGCAGCCTAGGATGTCCGTAGTCTTCTTTGCTGCAAGGGCACGTGGTTAGTTCAAGTTCACCTTGGTGTCCACTTGGTTGCTGCACAGCAGATACTGGTGCCTGGGGCTGTTCCTGCCCAGGGGCAGGACTTTGCTGTTTTCCTTTTGGAACTTCCTGATGTTCCTGGCAGCCCATTTCTCCATCCTGTCCAGGTCCCTTATTGATGCCTCTCACCTCTCTGTTGGTAGCTGCTCCCATTTGTACCCCACACAAGCTGTGGGCCAGTGGTATTTTCTCACTCTAATGGGGACTATTGAAGTATTGAAGTCAACAAACTGCTGCAATACAGTGTGTGTGTGACAGCCCGATCCTTACTGTCATGTCAAATTTGACATAAGCAGTATGGGCTGTTCAAGCTCGGATTGTGCAAAAAACTGATGAGAATGTGCCGCATAATTACACCTTTTCTTTCTGTCTCAGGTGCCAAAGATGTGCCACATCTCTCTAATAACATAGGTCCCATTACCACTTACTGATACTAGATTTTAGAGAGCTGAACAGCGATGTTAGGGTGTTGTACTTGCCCAGGAGATACAGATGAAGATATTTCTCTGTGACTTTTGTACAGCTGCATCAGCTCCCTGCTTTTCCAAATGGCTTTTCCTGTCCTTGGGATCTCCAGTGGCAGTGGCAGCCGATGTTCGGGACCTGGGGATGCCTCGGGATACCCCCCAGGGAATGCTCACCGTAGCGAATGCTCCTGAGATCTGACCCCCAGGGGTTGTGACGCGGCACCGCGCGCTCACCGCCGGTGTGCCTCCTGCAGCGTTCCAACGGGAACGGACCAAAACGCTCCCGGGAGCGGCGGGAGGCCATTCCTCCGGACCGCAAGGAGGCGCTGTGCGCGCCGTGCCGTCTCCATAGCGAGGCGGCGGCCCCGCGCCATGGCGGCGGTGTTGAGCGGCGCGGGCGGGGCCGTGTATCGGTCCCGTGACCCCGTGAGCAACCTGCGCCTCCGGTGAGCGGCCGTTCCCGGCCCCAGGCCGGCCTCAGGCCCGCATCCGCCTCCGTCACGCTCCCTCCTTCCCCGCAGGGTCCGCCTCTGGCGGGGCACCTCGTCCGGGCCCTTCCTGCCGCAGGCCCCGCCGCCGCTCGCCAGCCCCGTGCTCCCGGGCCTGGCCGACCGCGCCGGGACCGGTACGTGGGGCCCGAGCAGGGGACGGGGAGCAAGGGGGAGCGGGCGGGCGTAACCGAGCCGTGTCCCGCAGGTGCCCGGCGGCCCCCGGAGGAGGAGGAGGAGGAGGAGGAGGCCGAGGTGGGGTGGCAGGAGAAGCTCTTCAGCCAGGTGGGCCTGCGGCTGACGCGGGCGGTGCTCCTGGGGTGGCCCCGCGGAGTCCTGCTGCGGGGTGACCCGCGATGCCCGAGCGCCCCAGGCGGGCATCCGGCCGGTGCCGGAGCCCGTTCTCGGGCTGTCTGCTGGTATTCCCAAAGGATTTTGTCTCTCTGTGCGATGGGTTTGGGAATCTCGGCTGGAAAGTGTGGTTGGGCTGGGCTGGGGAAAGGCAGCTTTGGTGCTCAACCTGCTGTGCTCTCAGTTTGAGGTGGATCTGTACCAGAATGAGTCTGCCTGCCAGACACCCCTGGACCGGCAGTACTGGGAGGAGATCCGCAAACTGGAGAGGGCTGGAGGCCGGAAAAACTGTCGCATCTTCACCTACACGGATCACGACCGGTTCACCAACCTGGAGGAGGTACCAGTCTGAGTTACACATAGTTTATACAGCAGTGTCTGTCAGAATCACTGGACCTGCCACAGAGGGAACATGTGTCAGGTCTTGGCCATGCAGCAGCAAGCCAGATTTCCTGTATGCAGGAGCGCATACTGTCTCTGCAGAGCAGCTTCACTTGGTGCCTCAGACCTGGGATGAGATCTTCCTGTTTCAGAATGATAGTCCCTCAGCCTGGAGGGACTTGGCTTTGTAACATTGATTTGTAGGTAACTTGCTGGGTGGAGGTTAGCTGTAGTTTACTACAAAACCAGCAAATCTTCTAGCAGTTTGTCTCAGCATGTGAGCATGCTGTTCTCTCCTCCAGAAGTGAAGCTGTGGGAAGGATGTCCTGTTACAATGAAGCTAGTGCCCATCTGTTTCTCTCCTCCAGTACTTCCAGAAGGTAACTGACTCAGAACATGAGGTGCCATCTTATCTGGCAGAGAGGATGGCCAATGTGAGGAGGAGGAGACAAGACTGCAGGCCAATGTGAGTGCAAATGGGCTCAGAGCTTGCTAATGCAGGTTTCCTGGAGCTGGTGCCCCATCCACAGAGAAGCCTGGTCTGTGGAAGTTGAGCTGTGTCAAACTTGGAATCCAGCAGTTCCTTGTTATGGGGGACTGGTGCTGCTTGTGCCGGATTGCTGAAGTGAGCTGTGACTGGTGCTGTTCTGTTGTTGACAGAGAAGCAGGTTCTCTGAAGTCAAAAATCATCACCTGGAAACCCTCAGATGAATTTATAAGGAGTAGTCATGTGATTAACACTCCTGTCCAGACCATGTACATCATGGGGGACTTGGGACCTTATGGGAAGTAAGTAAAATCCTGAAGTGACCTTAATTCCCCAGAAGAAAAACTTGTCTTCCCTCCTTACTCAAATCCTTTTTTCTTTCATTAGTTAAGGGGAGAGAATTCCAAGAGTTTGGTAACTCTGACTTGCTATTTCTTTCTGTCTCTTCCCTCATTTGGGAGGTAACTGCGTGTATCCCTCCAAAAGGCTTTTTAAGCTAATGTAGGAAAGTATGTGTGTGTTTGTTTTTTTCTGTACCCTATGGGCCTTTACCAGCTTGCTGTTCCAGAGCAAGAGTAGTCTCTCTTTAGACTGTGTTTCCTGATGTCTTCCATTAGGCTTGGTCGCAGGGAGTGTGAACATATTCTTTGCACAATCAAGGTGGACGACAATGGAGTGATCACAGTGAAGCCGGACTTTACTGGCACCAAAGGAGCCTACCAGTGAGTGGGGCAGTGCTGGTACTTCCATGGGCTGATAGGTCTGAAACTGCTGTTTCCTGGTCCTGCTTCAGTCAATAGATCAGCACTTTAATTGAGGGATGTTTTTTAACTTTATTCCATGTTATTTAACTTTATTCCATGTTATTTAACTTTATTATTAACTTGTTCTGAGACAAGATTATTCTGTACTTGTGCTTGGCGTCACTGCATGTGGGATGTGTGGGGCTTTGGTGCCAATCCCTAGGGATGGAGTTTATGCATATGCTGGGCACAGGCAAGTCTCCCTTTTTGAGTCATTGATGCTAGCAGGCACTTGGGAATGAGGAGAGGGCCATTAGTGCCCTTGGTTGCTGCACGGGCCTGGTGGAGGGAGGACTGCTGGCACAGTTGATGCTGTTGCTGCCTGTTCTCTGCTTAATGGGGGAATTTTGCCCATGTGTTTTGGGGCTCTGCAGGATTGAAGTGGATGGAGAGAAGCATGAGGTGTGGAAATACACCATTGAGAATGCATCTGTCCAAATGCAGCCAGAGGATGAGGAACGTGAGCAGCGTGTGTTCAGAGACGTAAGGACCAACCTCCACTGATCATACTGACTAGTCCTCTTGATTTGACAAAGGGAGATGTAATTGCGCTGTGACCCTTATAGAGACATAGTTGTGCTTTAGACACCTAAAGGTGACAAAGTGAATATCACTCACAGACAGCCCCAGCTATTTGAAAACTCCAGCAAATATTCCAAGTGCTTTATTTCTCACTGTATGTAGAGGCCTTGCCTGATATTAGTTGTGTTGGCCTCTGCAGTGATGCAGTGAGAAGTGGTGCAAGAAACCACCTAAATTCATGCCTTTCTACTATCACCTGCCAATGGTTTTCCTTTGCTTTTGAGCAGCTGGCAGACGATTTCCTCAATCTCCTTTCTTCCTGTATACTTATTGAATGATTTCTTGTTATCTGGAATGTGCCAGGATCTCATGTACTGATCTTTCTGAATTGCCTTCTTGGATGTGGCAGTTCATAAAGGTACTTAGCATCATAGAATAGTTAGGTTTGGAAAAGACCTTAAGATCATCTTGCTTCAACCCGCTTGCCATGGGCAGGGACACCTCACACTAAACCATGGCACCCAAGGCTTTTTCCAGCCTGTCCTTGAACACTGCCAGGGATGGAGCATTCACAACTTCCTTGGGCAGTCTGTTCCAGTGCCTCATCACCCTCACAGGAAAGAATTTCCTCCTTACATCCGACCTGAACTTCCCCTGTTTAAGTTTGAACCCATTACCCCTTGGCCCATCCCTGCAGTCCCCAGTGAAGAGTCCCTCCCCAGCATCCTTATAGCCCCCTTCAGATACTGGAAGGCTGCTATGAGGTCTCCATGCAGCCTTCTCTTCTCCAGGCTGAACAGCCCCAACTTTCTCATTCTGTCTTCATACAGGAGGTGCTCCAGTCCCCCGATCATCCTCATGACCTCCTCTGGACTTGCTCCAACAGCTCTGTGTCCTTAGGTTGAGGACTCCAGAACTGCACACAGTGCTGCAAGTGGGGTCTCATGAGAGCAGAGTAGAGGGGCAGGATCACCTCCTTTGACCTGCTGGTCACGCTGCTTTTGATGCAGCCCAGCACACAGGTGGCTTCTTTATCCCTTAGAGTGGCCTTTGGTGAGGTGTTCTCTGAAGCTGAAGTTCTCGGCAGTGTTAGCAGTTGCACGCCTTTATTCTCGTAGATTCCTATTTCCCTACTTCTGCTATAGCAGTTAAAAACCCTGTGTACTAAGCCTGTTGACAGCTTAGATTGGGGTTAAGTTACATCCATTACAAACTTTGCAATAAGTAAAAATATAATCAGAAAGACACTTTTCTAATGCGTTTGTTCTGTGGTTGCAGCTGTATGGCCAGTACAAGGAATACCTCAGTGGTCTTGTAGGTTCAGAGTTTGAAATGGTGAGTACCTGAAGCCCTGATGCTTTTGCAGACTCTTGAGCTGGTTAGCATGGCTGCTGTTTGTACCACAGTCTCCAAAGACTGTTTCATTCTAGGGTGTTGGCAGCCTTTACCTTGCAGTAAAGGTCCAAAGGGATGGGTTACAATGGATGTGAGCCCTACAGAGATCCCTCCTGTGTCTGTCAGGCCAGCAGCAGCACGTGCTGAGCACTGCAGTCTCTGTGAGACCGCATGCTTTGTGTGAAGGCCTTTGACTGTACCACTTCAAGAAGATTTATATCTCTTGGGATAGTGATTGCTGTTAACTTCTTGAATGTCAAACGTGTCCTTGTGCCACTTTGTTCAGGTGAACAGCCCTTCCCACCCCCAAACTCTTTTAGTTTCCCTTCTCACTGAATTACCCAGACTACAGTCTTTTTTTTTTGCTCAAATCTTGTTTGTCAAAATGTGAAAGTTCTACTTTGTTATACTTAGTAGAGTGTCTCAGCTTGTCCTGTGCTTCCTCCTCCTTCCCCCACTTGGGGCAAGTGCAGGAACACCTCAGGAGAACACAGGACTATGATTTCTGCAGGTGACTTCTCAGTACATTTTATATCCGTTTTGAAGTCTGTAAGAGACTGATTTACAGAACAGTAAACTCCTGCAGCCAAGGAATTTGGTCTCTCTAGAGAACCTCTCTCCAGAGGCGCTCTTTGCTTCCGGAAAGTGATATGAGAAGCCATGACTCCTACCTGGCCAGCAGTCTGAATCATTCATGTACAAACATCTGTGACATACCTGTATGAGGACTGCTGGGAGGGGATTGTTTGAGGTTCCACCAGTGGTCACTGAGCATTTTACCTTGCTTGTCTGCTCATTCTTACAGACCCTTCCTGGTACACTGCGGCTGTTTGTGAATGGAGAAATAGGTGAGTCCTTATTCTAAACTGTAACTACAGTTAACTGTGGATCTGCGGGGATAGCTGAGGCTTTGAAGGGTCCAAGGGTTCTTGGATCACAGGCTGGTCCAGAGAAGGTGATTCTCGCCCTAGAATCCTTTACTTCTCCTCTCCTGGTTTTGCAGACTAAGGCCTTGAGTGGCATTTCCAGATTGGAGGTTACAAATACTGCAGCTGTGCTAGGAAGACAAACATCTGAAAAAAGAGAGCAAATTGGGATGTTAATAGAGATTATAGCAAAGAAAGCAATTAAGTGTGTGATGTCCCTAATCTGATATGAGGACAGGACTAGTGTAGAGAAGTCTTCTTTGAGGGCCATATTTTGTTACTTTGAAAGCCCTGGCTTTTCCCAGCTTCCAGCAGTAACTGAGAAAACCTGAGGTTATTGGTGCTGGCTCTCCCAAAAGTCTGCTGTGAGTTCTGGAGGAGTTTGGAAGTGAGCAGCTGACATTCATTCTCTCTGCTCAGTTTCAGCTCAAGGCTATGAGTATGACAACCTCTACATCTATTTCTTCGTGGAGCTGCCAAATCGTAAGTGTTCACATTTCCAGCCATATCACAGCAGTTTAAGGGATGAAATGTGCTTCTGCTGGTCCATCAGATCAGCTCTGCTAAAATTCAGTAGAAGTTAATGTTTGCCTGGGATCTAGTTAGAGGTCTTCAGAGCTAAAATTGCATAACTTAAAAAGTTTGGATTAAATTAATATTTGGGAGAAAATAGCATCTTCCTCTCTCATCTCTTCCAAATTAGGCTGGGACACAGAGGTCCATTGGCTTCTCAACCGGTGGTGATGGTGTCCAGCAGCCTGCCCAAAGTTCATCCCTTGTCCTGCAGAGAACAGTCTTGCTATCTTCTCCACCTCAGCAGTGACCTCTCCTGATTTCAGTGCTTGCTGTCATGTTCCATGTTTTGTGCTGACACTAACACAAAATTGACTGATAAATAAGAATTTTGACTTACAAATAAGGCTTCAGCACTAACAGGCACATCCTGCTGCATGTTTAATTTCCCTGAAGCTATGGCTCTGGCTTCCCCTCTCTGTTGATACCCTGACATTTGTCCAAAGAGGTACTGCTTTTGCTACCCAGTGCATTTAGAGAAGTTTGTACTACTTTCTTAAGAAAGGGCTGGTGCTTTTCATCAGCTGTTCCAGGAGGTTGTGGGGAGCAGCCATTGCCTGGAACAGGACAGGGTGGGACACATCTAGGGGATATTCAGTGTGGGTGATGTTATCTGTTATCCCAGTCATCTGGGACTGACATTCTTTGGGCTGCTCTGGTTTGTGAGTCCTCCCTGTCACCCAAAGTGTTCACTGCTGTGCTCATGTTCTCCTCCCAGAGTGGTCGAGCCCAGCGTCTCAGCAGCTATCAGGAGTGACGCAGACCTGTGCCACCAAGGCATTGGGCTGGGTAAGGACACTTTCAGACGTGCAGAGCAGTTTGAACAGGCATTCTTTGAAGTGGAACAGGTGTAACAAGTTACAAATATATTTAGCAAAGGTCTTGGCTTGAGAACTCCTTTCAAGAGCCAAGCATGTTTGGGATTCTCCTCATTCTAGTTATATTTGCCATCTTTCATAGTGCCACTGGTTCCAAATAAAACTAGATCAGATGAAAGTGCTTCAGAGCAGTTTCTGGAATGTCACTTTTTTCTTCCTTCTAGCTGATCGATTGCCTTTGGAGCTTTAATTTTTGTGTTTCAAATTCAAAGTTTTGATTTTGTGTCTCAAATGTTCAGTTAACAAAGCATCGTTTTGGCTGGCCTGGGGCAGGAATGCACAAAGTCAAAACTGATTTCTCAAAATAAAGCCCTCTTCCTGTGTGGGAAGTTGGTTCCATTGCTGTCTCCAGCTCTTCTCTTAGAAAATTCGAATTTTATCAACTTGTAAATGGCTTTTATGTGAGCTAGTTTGCATATCACAAAAATAATTACCATACAGCATTTCTGTTGTACATTGTTTGAAGTATTTTGCTTGGCTCATAGAGAGATTGTGGCAATGTAGTACTCCCACAGTTGGCTGAATTGTCATTTGTGGGTGCTACTCTTTCCCCTTTTTCATTCTTTTTAACAGCCCATTCCGTCTTCATGGCACTCAGGAGTGTACTCAGTAGGTGCACTGTGCAGTCAGGTGTTTGTTAGTGTGATACAACCAATATTGTTTGGGCACCATTACCTGTTTTATACCATTAGTTTTTTTTTCTCTCTTCTCTCTGTGCCCCCTGCAGTGCTGGTGGTGAATTCTCTTGTCCAGGCACTTGATCTGTTTTGTTCCCTCTCTAGGAGAACGTGGCATACTTCAGCTACCCCTTCACTTTGGAGATGTTTTTCACTGAAGGAGCTGAATCAGAAGGTGGGTTTTTCGGTTTTGCTCACTTCCACACGAATTTCCTCATTGCTCTGACATGTAAAACTGAAATCTTTGGATGCAGTGTAGGCCTGGTGCTGTCTGGCACTTTGCTGGCCCCTCTCCAACATGAAAGGACAGATTTAAATAAAGGGAGTTGTTGATCTTTCAGCAGTTGTTTACCCTGTCACCACACAGCCTCTGGACACATACTGTATTTGCCCTGCCCAGCAGTGCATTAGCATTTGTATGTATGCATTGATGTTGCTCTGCTTCCAGGCTGTAGTCAGCTATGTCCAGTTGAAAAACATCTTGGATCCCTTTTCTGCCTTGGGATACCCGGCATGCTGGGCAGTGTTGCCATGCCCCACGTACTGCACAGAGCCCTGGGATACCACAGCAGAAAAACCAGGCAGATTTTTTGTGCACGACTGAAGCTCTGTGCTAAGCCTTACATTTGTAGACACACTCAGTGACCTGTGTAATCTTTGTGTAGTTTATGTCACTCTGAAACTTCCAGCTCTGTTAAGCTGGGCTTTGCTGCCTGTTCCTGCTGCTTCACTGCGCAGCTGCTGCTTCCTCACCAACCCCAGTTGCTCTTTGGATTGCAATTGCTAGGGGCAGCTTTGTGGCATGCCTTGCCACTTGAATCCAGTGCACGTGTTGGATTTGTGTATTCAAGCAGCACTAATGAATTTTCAGCCTAGTTATTCTATGAGTTGTTTCATTGTGGAAAAAAGAAATGCTTGGGGACCCATAGGAGAATCCAACATACTAATCCCCCGATAACGGTGGGAAGGGTCAGAGATAAAGTTTTCTCTGTTTGGCATCAGATCAGTTACAGATTTTGTCTTGTCTGCTCAAAGATAACCGAGGAACCAGCTTGGATTTGCTGTCAGAGCAAATGATGTTCCCAAATTTCAAACATCAGTAATTCTGTTTTCATCTGCTGTTGTAGTTTAAATGCCAAAAGGAGGACATCCTCAAGCCTGAGGGTTCAACTTTTCTGGGGGAAAATAATGACCAACATGTCTCAGTTAGTGGTTGTAGAAGAAATAAAGGAAGGATGTCCTGCTAATGGAGTTGGGCATTTAGTCCTTTGGCTTTTTTTCTCTATGATAGTTTTCCCTCACAAAGCTGTGATCTGCTTCCCTTCCTTGCAGAGAGTCTCCCTCAGTGGCCTGTTCTCTACTTTGAGGTCCTGTCCCTGGATTTCTGGCAGAGATACCGTGTGGAAGGGTATGGTTCTTTGGTGCTGCCAGCATCTCCAGGTAAAACATACTTGGGCAGAATGAGTCTAGAAGACTGGCAGAATGAGGGCAGAAGAGTGTTCTCTTGGGGATGGATTCAGCTGGTCCTGGGGAGGCTTTGCAGGGTATAGCTAGCTGTCTGTGGGGCAGCAAAGAAGGATTTGTTGCATCCTGCACCATTCTGCCTTGTGGAGACACATCCAGTGTTGCTGTTCTTGCTACTTTGGTGGTTCTGTCACCAAACCTTTTGTGATAAAGCTCCTGGGTGGTGCTGCATATCCATCTTTACCACAGCAGTAGAACTCTCTGTCCCATACGGAGTCTGAAGGTTGCAACTGTTCTGACACCCATGTGTAGTAAGGAGATGCTCTTCATGGGCAGGTGGTTCTTTCCACGCTGTGTGACTGATGGGGCTGACTCACTGGGAAATGTTCTAGAGATACAGTGGAGTGTTTCCATTTTCAGCCTCCTGTGGTTTGAGTCAGCAGGTATCCATCTACCATGCTGCCCTTAGTGACTCTGTGTAGGCTGCTGGTCATAGCTGCTAAGGCTGTCCTGTTGTCCTGGGTCAGGTGTCCATAACTTCACCATCCCTACCTGGCGCCCTGTGGAGCTGGGAACAGTTGCTGAGCTGAGGAGATTTTTCATTGGAGGATCTCCTGAGCTGGAGGACATAACCTACGTCAGGACACCATCAACCTTTGAGGTGGGCTCAGTTGCCAGGGCATTGCTCTGGCTTGGAGATGATGGGTTATGCTGTCAGCTTCAGATGTCTGTGGCTGTCCAGACAGCCTAGATTGGGTTTGAACAAGGATGAGGTGGTGGCCCAGTCCTTCTGAGTAAAGAAGTGTCTCCTCTGTGAGACTTGTGGCCATGAACAGAGGAATTGGCAAATGCTGAGGCAGAGCTTTCTGCCTTCTCAGGTGTGTACAGCTTAGAGAAGTGGGTGGACATGGTCCAAAGCCTTGACTTACCCTGCTTGTGCTGGCTCTCTCTGAAAAGTGTCTGTCAGGTCAGCAGTTGTTACCAGCTATAGACTTGTTCCTGTGTTTTGGTAAGGAGTCTGAGCTGTACTGTGCCTGGAAGAGTTTCCTGAAGCAGGACACCGATGGGTGTACGGCGGGCAGAGATCTCATGTTCTTAAGAAAGCTGCTTGCTGGTGTAATGAGCAAGCTGGCCTTGGCAGCTTTGTGTGGGAGCAAACCCTGGTGCAGTTGTTGAAACCTTCCTCCACTACACTTGTGTTTAGGACCTGCCCCAGCACAGCCCTTCTTTCTAGCCTCCCTTTCCATGTGCAGTGGGGAAGGGGGAGACTGTCCCCACAGGAGTGCATGCTGCTGGTGGGCAGTGCTCCTGGGCTCAGCCTGCTGCAGCAGCTTGCAGGCTGCAGTTTCTCTTAACTTGTGCTGCCTTTGCAGGGAGAGCGTCTGAGCCGCTTTGGTTTTCGCACAGAGACAACCGGGAGCGTCACATTCCGGCTGTACTGCCTGCAGCAGTCTAAGTGAGTGCAGCAGGGTACGAGCTCCATCTTGTGTGCTGTATTTTGCCAGCCCTGACCTAACCTGTACCTCTGTGCAGGGCCTTTCTGGAAACCAGTGGCAAGAGGCAGCGCATGCAGAGTGTTCTGGACCAACTTGGAGGCTTCAGACAGCAGAGCTCTGTCTACAGTGTTTTGGGTAGGGCTTTCAGTGTCATTCTCCCTGGCGAGCCTTTGGTTCACATTTGTCCCCTTTTTACAGAGAGGGCAGGGTGTTTCAGGAGAATCTGTTACTGTGAGGATAACTGGTCCCTGCATCATGAGCTCTCTGACTCCATAGCAGAAATTAAATCTGAGGTGGAAACTGCAGGAGGCATGAGGGATAACCACTCTGTGAGGACAAAGCCTACGCTGGGCACTGAGCATAGCTTGTGGCACAGATGCAAAGGCTCTGCCTCCGATTTCATTATGCACGGAGCAAAGACAGTGCTAGAAATAAGTGAAGAGGGCTGCAAGGGCCAGGTGCTTTTTGGTAGCACCTAGAAATAGGAAGTGAGGCTCCAGGGACAGGAGAGATGATGTTCACTAGAGAGAGGCACTCCTCCCCTTCCCTTTGACTGTCTGATGCATTCTGGCTTGCTGTTACCTGCTGTGTTATAGAGGCTTTCCAGAGAGCACGACGCCGGATGCAGGAAGCACGCGAGAGCCTTTCTCAGGACCTCATCAGCACCTCTGCCTCCACTGTGCACCAGTCGCAGGAACCTTGATCGACCACCTCTGCTGCAGGCGAGTGTTTAACATCGCTCCCACACAAGCTCCATTTGTTCAGCAGGAGTCACAGTGCTGGTGTTGGGAAGCTTCTGAAGCCCTTCTTTTGTCATTTTCCCTGGGTGAGGGTAGGAGCCTGTAGCAGATCCCGAATAGCTGCACTTCCACAGGTAGCTATGGAATGAGCTCCATTTTCTCAATGCATTTTGTTCCCAGGCTCTAACGATACAGCCAATTGTTCACTTTTCTGCTGAGCAGACTAAAATAATAACATAGGACCTGTGGAGCCTTGAATGCCTTTTCAGGAGTTAAGTAGTAAATGGTGAGAATCAAGTCTGCATGATGTGGTGTGTTTATTTTTCTTCTTCAAGAAGAGGAGGTGTTGAAGGTCAGGGTGTAAATGCTGCTTGAGAGTTATTGAAATGAGTAGAGAACTTCAGAAGTTCTGATAATTGTTGTCAGTATTTGTAGCTATAGGTCAGTCAACAGTAAAATGAATCTGTCCACTTGTGCCTTAAGATTGATTCATTCCTCTAGAGAGCTTTCTGCCACATGTAATATATGAAATCAAACTAAAGGAATTATGTTTGGCAGATGGAGAACTGGCAAAGAGGCTTACATTCAGTGGTTCCTTGTATGTGCATGTTTCTGACTCTGCAGTGATGATCAGGAGGATTCTTTCTGTTCAGAAATCCAGCTGAAAACATGCATTCCCATTAGTTCCCAGTAGAACTCTGGCTGGGTTGGACAGGTTGCAGATAAGGGCAGATTCGAACATTTGCACAGCAGCTGAACTTTGAACTGTTGTAGCTGTTCATTTGGGTTGTGGTTCCTTGTTCCATCTCTGGTTTCAGGATGCTGTATTGCTTCCTGGGAAGCACGTGTGTACCCAGTCTCTACCCACTTTCTTCTTTTCTCAGGCTGGTTTCCCCCTGCTGCCATTTTTGTTCCTGTCTTAAGGCTACCTGCAGACTGATGGTGCTGTGTTGATCTGTGCACAAGTCACAATTCCCTGTGTTCTCTGCTCCCAGCAAAAAGGATAGAAAGAAAAATCTCAGGCTGAGACTATACAGATCTGAATGTTTCTGTTGAGTTAGAATTCACAGGCAGAATATAGAATAGGAATTGGCCTTCCTCCTTGTGCTCTGCATGTTCTTCCTTTGCAGGGAACATGAGGGTCGTGGTTGCAGCTGTGTGTGATTGTTAATACATTCTCCTCTTCCCTGGTACTCCGTTATCTCCTGTCTTCCTTGCTCCCTTCTTGCTGTTTTGATCTTGTCCCAGCCTTCACTGGGAAAACCAAACTCCTGCGTTTGTTCCTCCTCGACCTTTGTTGTAAGTTCCACATCTGTCAGCTTGGAGGTCTGGCAAATTCAATTACAGCAGGGTTTTTGCACTCCCTCCTTGCCTGCTGCCCCTCTGTTTTGATGGCAGAGGCTGCCAGCATGTATTAGATAGCATGGCCTGTTAAGCAGAGCACAGTGTCCTTGGCCTCGAGCTGGATGATGTGTCTTGCGCATGAGTCAGGTCTCCACTTTTGATGTGGTGGCTGTGAAGGCACATGCCCAGTTTGGAGCAGCAGAATTGAGGTGTGTGCTCATGATGGTCTTGAACAGTCACATTTTGCAGAGCTTGACCCACTCAGTGCCCAGGGGTGAAGCACTCGGGGAGAATGCAGCACTTGCTATCTCTTGGTTTTTGATGCTCATTCACGTCATGGCCCTGTGTGTTTATTGCAGGCTATCTGAGCAATACTTGATTTCCCTCTGGGTATTTCTGTTGTGCTTATATAGCTTATAAAAATAATTCAGCTTATAATAGCTGAATTGCACATCTCAGAGACCCTTCTCAGGACTGAGTTACAAGGTTAAGAGAATACTCTTTTTATCAATAATGTAACAGAACACCTTTCTGACGGAGATCATGCCAACGGCAGAGCCTGTCACAGAGTAGACTCTACTGGTTAGAAGGTCACGTTCCTGACACATGCTTGTTGCTCAGTGCTTTTATGAGGCAGGATTTGCTGAATTGAGTGTATTAGCTGTTAAGGTCACACAGAGATGCAGTAAGGTTTACATCATGGTAGGACTTTTGCTGGATAAATAGTTAATTTTACGCTTAAGAGTGTAAAATCTCACAGGAACTCAGGAGAGGAAAATTGAACCAAGCAGGCAATTCTTCCAAAGTAAGGCATTGTTAGCAGATTTACACCTTTGTACTTGCAGCCTCCTTGGCCTGACAGAACAAAAGGGTGCTCATAAATGATGTTTTGGAGAAATCCTTCTGCAAATGTTGTTTGAACATGCTTTTTCATAAATATAAACAGCAGGTACATATACATGTATGGAAATATGGATCTTTAAGTCAAAACTGGTTTTTGGCGCAGGGCTTGTGCTTTGAGCTTGCCAAGGAGCCCAGCCACCTGGAGCAGCAGGGGCTGTGCATCCACAAGGTATGCACAGGTGAAGTAAGAGATGGCCCATGGGGGCAGCAGAGGCCTGTGACCTCACTTTCAGCCCTGACAATTTCCCCTGTACAGAGCCTTTGCAGTGAAACTCAACGGGAGAAGGGAGAGGAAGAGACAGTTTTGGGTGCATCAGAGCTTGGGACAAGAGAGCACTAGTTGATAGGATGGGAGCCTGGCAGGCTGGGGGATGCTGTGAACTGAGTCTGGATCCTGCAGCCTTAACCCATGGTGTGGTCTGCATGGGGGCAGGAGCCAGCTCAGTCCCTAGGGACCTTCTGGGCATCTCATTAAATAAACTGGGGAAACAAAGGGTAATGTTGGTAGAAATGGTGGCTTGGTGGACGAAAAGGCTGTGGGCAGTTGGCAGGGCTTGTGCAATGTAGATCAGCAGCTATTAGAAGTTCCAGTGTAAATGTAACAAGTAGGAAATGGAGAAATGAGTCGTTGAGGTGACTGGGGAGCTGCTTTCCACTGATGAAGGCAGACCAAAGGAATGGTGTTTGCTCTCAGCTAAGGAAGAACTGGGCTATGATAACTTCAGACTGCAGCCTTGCCAGCAAACCTCAGCCACTTCTTTGGCTTGGTCCCATCCCAGGGCTTGCGAGGGCCCCGGCCACAGCAATCCTCCCCTTATGGGGCTGCCCTGGGGCAGAAGGAGCTGCAGCAGGCATGTGTCCTGCAGAGATTCATTGCTGTGTAGCATGTGAGGAGGGAGAGGAGTGCTTCATCTGCAGTGTGCGCTTTCAGTGCTTGTTACTAAACAATTACTGGTGCCTGCTTGTTGTCTCGGTGTGTTTTAACCTTAGCCCCCGGGTTGGAGTGTCAAGAGGAGAGCTCCCTGCAGGCGCTCTCCTGGCAGTGAAGTGAAGGACTGGGCTGCTTTGCCTTTCACCCCCAGCTGCCTTTTTATTACACTTACTGTCTTCTCAGGGTGCAGCCTGTGTTCCTGAAGCTGATGTCAGTATTTCAGTGCAAGCCAGAGTACAACTGACCCGAGCACTCCATTGAATCAGTCAAAGAATAAAGTGTCTGTGGGGCCTTTTTCCTGCACTGAAATGATTGCTTTAGTTTGATTGAATTTTCCTCACTGCTTTGGTTTGCACAGGTTTTGAAAGTGAACCCTAGTGCTGTGTAGACTGGAGGTGATTCCCTTTCTCATCTGTCAGGATTGTTTTCTAGAGTAACACAAAATCAGAAAGAACTGATGGAATCAGACTTCTCTGTAATTTATTCACAAGTTCTTATACTTAAAGAAAATCTGACTTTCAAAACAGTTTCTGCAGTGTGTGAGAGAAAAATATGTCTTGGAGATGTGATTCCAGGTTGTTTCAAGCTTTCCAGATCTGACAAGGAGAGGACTGGTCCTTTGGGCAGGAGTGAATGGTGGCCTTCCTGCAACTTCACTTGCCCTTGGAAAACCTCAAAAGTCAAGCTGGATACCAAGATCTAGTCCACTGCTTTCCTTCAGGCAACATAAGCTTGACTTAAAGCCCATTTGTTCAACCTGTTCTTTACATGAAGATGGAGACTACAGATCACCCCTTCCAGATGGGGTTTGGTTTGTTTTTTATATAGCAAATTTTCTTGTACCGAGCAATTGACAGTGGCAGCTTGTGCCTGAGCTGAGCAAAGCCTGTGCTTGGGCTGCTGCTGGAGGCGTGAAGAGGAGGGAGTGTGTGATTCCTGCCAGGTGGTTATTGTTCCTCTGGGGGGTTCCCATCCCACGCTGCCAGTGCCTGTGATATCTTGTTTTCTGCTGCTGGTATCCTTGTGAGCACTGTGGTGCTCTTACGGCTCTGGAGGTGGTATTGGCAGTCTGAGAGATCAGACAAACTGTAACCCACATGAGCGGCCACTTCTCTTGCTGCTGGGAACACAGAGCCCAGCTTGCTCCTCAACACTTCACCTACAATGTCCAGTGTTTCCACTGCAGTTGTGCTTGCAAGGCCTGGATTCCCTCCTTCTTCCCCTTGGTCACCTCTCCTTTTCCAGCCTTTCCCCTCTCCTGTCACATTTTGATTTTTTTTCCTTCTTTTTGTGCATGTCATGGAATCACAGAATCACAGGGTGGTTTGGGTTGGAAAGGGACCTTAAAACTCATCCCGTTCCAACTCCTGGCATGGGCAGGGACCCCTTTCACTGGAGCAGCTTGCTCCAAGCCCCTGTGTCCAACCTGGCTTTGGACACTGCCAGGGATGGGGCAGCCACAGCTTCTCTGGGCACCCTGTGTCAGAGCCTCAGCACCCTCAAAGGGAAGAACTTTTGCCTAAGAGCTCATATAACACTCCCCTCTGTCAGTTTAAAGCCATTCCCCTTGTCCTGTCCTTTCACACATAGACCTCTGTATATGTATAGATCTGTCTGTTCCTTTCTGTAGTTTGATCCTGGATGCAGTTTTGGCCCTGTTTTTGCTATGCTGCTCACTCTTCTCTGTTAGCACCCAAAGCCCCTGTGTGCCTCTGCAGCTCTTCACCCCATGGCAGCAGAGCTGAGCTGTGATGCTGTGGCACCCGCTTGTGCCATCACCACCTTCCCAGGGTTCCCAGAACCTAGGGCTGAGCAAAACCACTCTGAGAATGGTACAAGGTGCGCAGGACAGGATGGGCTGGAAGTGGTTGGACACACCAGTGTGGGCCATCCAAAACTGCAGCCAGCGGACAGGCCCCCTGTGCACGGGGCACAGTGCTTCCCCTTTCCCGCATCAGTCAGATGCCTTTCTGGGTGCATTGCCTCAGGCACTAGTAGTGCAGTTTCCCTTCCCTGCTAACATTACGTCCTTGCTCACTGGTGTTCCTGCTTCTCTGGAGCTCGGCTGGACTCCTGGACATGGGCAGTGTGGAGACAGGAGTCCTGTCCTTGGAAAAGCAATGGTGAAGCATCCTCTTACCGTTTGGGCAGGTGAGATTGTAGACAATACTGGCTTTTCAAGAGTGACTTTTTAATGACTGCTGACATGGAGAGAAGCATTTGGAGTTATGGCTGTTGGCATCATCTCTGCTCCCTGAGCATGGGGAGAAGGAACATGGGGCTTGTGACTGTCAGACATGCCACAGTCCTCCCCTTGCCAGCGTTTCCTGATGGGCATGGGCAGCATGGACCATGAGTTATGCGTTGAGGCTCTTGCACAGGGAGCTGGGGCAGAGGGGCCCATCTTAACCAGCTCATCCCTGCCTTTTCTCCAAGATCCTGCCTCTCTCATGGCATAGGACTTAGCCTGTGTTCTTGGCACTGAGGAAGGCTCCCTCAGCACTGCTGCACTCATTGCCTCCAGTCTTGGCTTTCCAATCTATTCCTCGACATACTACTTCTGACAGCTGCTTCAGGATCTCTGTCCTGTGCCTCCAAAGGGAACAGTGTCCCTGAAGTGGCAGTGGTGGATGCAGAATGAATTAACAACTCCAGGTGGTTTCTGAGCTGCAGCCAAGCTGCAGGTCTTGCTGCTCCCCTCCCGTGTCATGGGGAGCGTGGCCAAGCTCTGGATTTCTGTTGTGTCCATGCTGTCAGCCTTGCTCAGGGCCAAGGGCTTGCTTTTCTCTGCATTGCTGCTGAGGGTTAAAGCTGTATCTCCTCACTGTGCATTGCTTGAGCTCTCCCAGCAGCAGTTGCAGTCCAGTCTCCTGCTGGAGGCAAGTCCTCAGGAACAGCAGGGTTGATCTTAGACCAGCCGCAGCATCCACCAGCATCTTCCTGCAACCCCTGCTCAAAATCCCGTGGTAATCCTTCCTGTGTAAGCGGAGCACATGCGACTCTGGCTGCTCTGCTGCATTTGCCGTTGCTGTCAGCTGCCTCACTCACCTGAAAGCTCTGCAGAACATAGGTGCTGCAGGCACAGGCGCTGCTCAAGCCAGGTGTGCCTCTGACTTTTGTTTCTTTGCAGTCCCAGCACGAAGGAAGAGCAGCCTGAGCCTCCTCCGCTTGGTCCCTCCATCTCCAGGGCTCTTGCGGGGCTGCTCTCCCAAACAGCACTGGAGATGCCCATGTCTCAGTTCTTAGGATCAGAGGCGGCTCTGCCCGTTGTGCCAGCTCTTGCCATACTTGCAGTCACTTGCCGGTTTCATTGTCTCAGATGTCAGGGCCCCAGGCATCTTGCCTTTCCCACAGAGACATTTAAAGCAGTTTAGGGTTTGCTAAGGCCGTTTCTCATTGAGATACAGGCTTCCAGTTCCAGGGGTTATGTGCACAGAGCATGAACCTGGAGGACCAGGGGAAGAGGTCTTTCTGAAGACACTTGGATTTGGATGGCTGGACGGTTTGCAGGGAGCATGAGTAAGGTTTTCATGGGACATCCCTGGCAGTGTTCAAGGCCATGTTGGACACAGGGGCTTGGAGCAAGCTGCTCCAGTGGAAGGGGTCCCTGCCCGTGGCAGGGGTTGGAGCTGGAGGAGCTTTAAGGTCCCTTCCAACCCAAACCATTCTGATTCTACGCCGACATTTCTGCTTGGTTCTCACCTGGTTTAGGACACCAGGGCTGCTCCTGTGCAAAGCCACCCCCTCAACTGCTGCCCCCGGCGCCTGTGCCAGGAGCGCTGGGAGGAGGACGAGGCCCGACTCCCGCACCAGGAGCACCCCAGCAGTGGCCGCCCCGTTGATGCTGGGTCCATCCAGGGCTCGATGTCACCGGCGGCCCCGAGGGAGGCCCAGGTGGATTCCCCCCCCCCCCCCCCCACCGCTGCCGCCGCCCCGGCTCCCCCGCCCCGGTCCCGGTGGCGGCTCCGCTCCGCGCATGCGCGGCTCCCGCCCCTCCCTGGCGCACGGCCGGGCGCAGCGGCAGCATGAAGGACCGGACCGGGGAGCTGCGCGCCGTGAGTGGGGGGGCTCGGGCCGCGGGGGGGGGGGGGCCGGGGCTGGCACCCCCGAGCCTCGTGGCGATGTCGGGGCCAGAGCGGGGCTCCCCGGGCTCCTCCCGCTCCGGTCTCCCCGCTCCGGTTCTCCCCCGGGGACGGGCGGTTCGAGCGGCGGGCGCTGGCCCCGGGGGGGGGGGCACCCATCTCCCGCGGGCACCGACTGCTGGCGGGGCCGAGCCCCGGCGGGCTGAGGGCGATGAACGGCGTGTTTATTATTGCAGGCGGCGGAGGGCAGCGCCCGGTGCGGGGGTGCGGGGCTGCGGTGGGAGCTCCCGCGGGCAGCGGGGCCGAGCAGTGCCGGAGGCCCCCCGTTACCCCCCGGGGCCGCTTCACGCCCCGGCCGCCCCCGTTTGCTTTTTCATTCTCCGGGCTCCGCTGATGTCATCCGGGCTGGGCAGAGCCGGGGCCGCGGCGCCCCCGGGGGGGCACCCGCCTCGCTCGGATCGCCCTCCGCACCCCCCGCTGCCGGCGTCCGCTCGGCTCCCGGTGCGGTGCCCGCGGGGTGCGCTGGAAGGCTGCAGCCCGTCCCGGGGGAGCGCCCGGTCCCGGTGTAACCGCGCAATGCTCCGGGAGGGGACACACTCGCACCCCTCGGGACCGCCCGAGGCACGGGGCCGAGCCCCGCAGCGTGTGCGGGCAGCGGGGATGCGCGGGGGGAGGCAGAGCTCGCAGGGCCAGGGCGCTGCTCCAGCACCCCCCGGCCGGTGCCCTCGCCCCGCGCTCGCTTTGCTGCTTCCCGTGGTTTGTTTCCAGTGACTTCAGGGTCTGCCCGGGGGAAGCAGGGTCTGTCATCGCCCGGGGGGGGTGAGGGGGGGTCCGTGTCGAGCCACGGGTGGGGGGATGCCGATGGGTGCCCGGGTCGGTCCCCACAGGGACCCTCATGAGGGAGTTGCTTCAGCCGGGAATTTGGCTCCATCTGGAAAACCCCAGGAGGATGGAGCTGGGATGATGCCAGCACAGGGCTCAGCGGTGGCTGTTGGGGTGAGGGGTGGTTGTTGGTGCTGAGGGATGGCTGTCGGGGCTGGAGAAGAAAGGGGCTATATAAAGAACTGCACCCTACCCGCTCAGCCTGGAAAGCATCCAGACAGGGGGCTCTTTCTCCACCAACAGCACAGGCTGTGTAATAGGATTGGAAAATAGGCTTTTTAATAATAATAATAGTAAAGATGAGCCCCACGAATGTCCTCTTGGCAGCCGGCGCTGGCTGGGAAGTGATGCCGTGGGGTATTTTAAAATCTCTCTATTCCTTTAAATACATCTTGAGAAAAATAAGACACATTCTTGCCTCGCTCCTGCTGCTGATCCGTATTCGTCAGCCTCATGCTGAAGGGTGCAGCATCCTCCTGAGGGCTCCCTGCTGCATCCGGGGGCTCCTGGGGATGAATGGGTGGAGTCCAGTTTGGAGCATCCGGATGCCCCAGAGCTGAGTGGGTGCCCATGCTGGGGCAAAGCCTGTGGGAAACGTGGGTTTCCAGCCTTGGTGGTGGCAGGCAGCTGAGAGGAGCCGGATGCTGCAGTGGGCAGAGTATGGGGAGTGCTGGGGCAGGTTTGGTTTGTGCTGCCAGCAGCCAGCCTTATCCACAGCCTGGGCCAGTTTCTTCCCGTTTTAATACAGCTTCTGAAACACGGCAGGAATGATCAGAAGCAGATTAAAGCCATTGCTGGAGCTGAGGAGGGGGTGCAGGGTCTCGCTGCTGTGCAGAGCAAGAGCTAAGGGGATGTTTAAAATGGTACTTGAAATTCAGAGCTCGCATCCTGTGTGTTTTCCGAACCCTGGGGCTCTGGTTGTGTTCAAACCCGCCCTGCGGGGAGGAGGGTTATGGTGGTGCCCCCAGCCCTGCACCAAGCTGGGGACAGGAAATTCAGCTTATGGCTGAAACCCGTGCTCCTGATGTGGAGGCAGCACAGCAAGGCCTGGCCAGGGAGGATGCCAGGAAGGAGAGCAGCAGAGCTTCGCTGTCACCTGCATGTGGGTAGGTGCCACGGCTTTGGCCATGGGTGGTGGTTTCTGCCCATCTGGAGTGGGGCTGGAGCTGGTCCCCTTCCCTGAAACCTGCAAAAGCAGCCCTGCTGCTGCAGGTGTTGGTGACACAGCAGGGATGGGGCAAAAAATACCCATAAAAGAATTCATTTAGCTTTTGGGACAGTCTCTAAGCTGCTTGTCCCTGTGCTCTGGGCACCTGAAATGTCTTTATTTAGGCTCTGCTTGGGTTGTGTTCTTGGAAGCTTGAGGAGGGTGGTGCTGAGGCTGCTGCATGTAAAAAGCTGTCAGCAGCTGCAGATGGGGGAAGATCCAGAGCTCTGCTGCCTGGGCTCCGCCGGGCATCCCAGCTGGGTGCTGCAGGGCTGCGAGTGGCCTGCACAGCTCCGTCCTGCCTGGGCAGTGTCAGGACAGTCTGGGAGATGTCAGGATTTCAGGGTGTGAGACAGGTCCAGCTGGTGAGATAACGATGAATTATGTTTTGAGGGAGAGTGGGAGGAGGTGACGTGTGCGAGTGCCATAGGATGAGAGAGTGGTTTGTGTTGGAAGGGACCTTAAAGCTCCTCCAGCTCCAACCCCTGTCACAGACAGGGACCCCTTCCACTGGAGCAGCTTGCTCCAAGCCCCTGTGTCCAACCTGGCCTTGAGCACTGCCAGGGATGGGGCAGCCACAGCTTCTCTAGGCACCCTGTGCCAGCACCTCAGCACCCTCATGGTACCACGTTTCTCCCCTATGTCCAACCTCATCCCACCCTTGTCCAGTTTAAACCCATCGCCCCATGTCCTGTCCCTGCAGGCCCTGGTCAAAAGTCTCCATCTTTGCTCTAAGCCCCCTTGAAGTCCTGAGCAGCCACAGGAAGGTCTCCCTGGAGCCGTCTCTTCTCTGGGCTGCACAGCCCCAACTCTCTCCCCTTTCTCCACAGCAGAGCTGTCCCAGCCCTTGGACCATTTTGAAGGCTCCTCTGGACCCACCAGGTCCATGCATGTCTTGTGCTGGGGACCCCTGAGCTGGACGCAGAGCTCCAGGGGGTCTCAGGAGAGCAGAGCAGAGGCAGAGCATCCCCTGCCTCGACCTGCTGGTCACGCTGCTGGTGATCAGCCCAGGAGACACTTGGCTTTCTGGGCTGCAAGCACACACTGCTGGGCCATGTCCCGGTTGTCACCCACCAGTATCCCTGAGTCCTTCTCCACAGGGCTGCTCTCCGTCCGTCCATCCATCCATCCTTCCATCCTTCCATCCTTCCATCCCTCCATCCCCCGTCTGTGCTGGTACTGGGGATTGCCCTGACCCAGGCACTGAACCTTGCCCTTGGCCTGGTTGAACTTCATGAGGGTCACACAGACCCACTCCTCCGGCCTGCCCAGGTCCCTCTGATGCCACCCTTCCCTCCAGCCCATCAACTGTACCACTGCTCCGTGTCAGCTGCAAAGGTGCTGAGGGAGCCCCTCATCCTGCTCTGTCAGTGCTGAAGGTGTCAGGCCGGCTGTGGAAGTGGCATTTGGCAGTTGCTGCTTCCAGAGTGCCCTCTTTGCAGCAACACTCAATTCCTTGTGCTTGCTCCCCAGTGCAAGGGGAGAGGGAGAGGATGCCAGAGTGCTGCCGGCTGCTGCGAGATGTCTGCCTGGGCCAGGACAGGGGGTTTCGAGGGGACACAGGAGCTATGCGGCTTGGTGGCTGGGTGGACCTGGATGGTTTGGGTCAGGGTTGCTGTTGCTCGAGGAGCTCCACGCACTTGGTGTTGCTGGTTGTTAGAAACACGTGGCTGGTGATTTGGGGAGAATGGACTCTGCTGTCGGCAGTTCACAGAGCCAGTGAACAGGGTTATCAGTAGTTCTCCAGTTCTGCTGACTGCAGCAGTCACTGGGCTCTACTTGGCTGGGGAAAGACCATTTATCAGTTGGCAGATCCTCTCCCCATGCCCTCCCAGCCAGTGCTCACCTGATGTTTTATCTTGCAGTTGCATGGTGGAAGTGTTCCTGGAGATGGACACTGCCCACATCGTGGGTTTGGGTGCTGTAGGGAGAGGTTTGGCAAGGCCAGTGCCCAGGCCTGGTGGGTTTCAGTGGTGGCAGAAGCTCCCCCAGTGTGAGAAGGCCCTTCCCCATAGAGGTGACAGGAGAACAAGGACAGTTTGGCCTGGAGGCCCGCCTTGGATCCCCAGCACAGACCTTGTGTGGTGGGACCGGTCGTCTGCCTAAGACTGGGTGGCTGCAGGGGTATTTGTAGGACTGAAGCCTTAGCAGTTGCTTGCCACAGAGCAAACGTAGCAAGTGGTGGGCACATTCCTGGTCACCTTCCATTTGGGCCTTGCTCAAATGAGTGTTGACTGAGAACAATCCCTCTGGGATTTGAAGAGTTGCTCTTTATTTCATGTCTACCTTCTGTTTCTCATCAATACCTAGCTTTTGAGTAGGGAGCTGGTTCCCTGCCCACGCCAACAGGAGAGGCATGAGCACGAACGCAGACCCACTGCTGCACATCTCCAGCTTCCAAGTGATTTCCTGGGCCCCTTTCCTCCCGCACCCGTTCACCTCCCTGCTGGCCGTTTCCAAGGCCCTTTCTCCAGCAGCATCCGTGTCTGTGTGCTGTGCTGTTCTGCCCAGTGACTGGCCCCATCCCCACTCCTGCCTCCGCATTCCAGGTTCAAGCACTGCCTCCTGCCCACGGGAGCTCTGGGGAGGTGTGTGTTAAAAACAGGAGGGTGCAGGAAGCAAGCTTGGCTCCGGGTCCAGCTCTGTGGATCCCTGCTCTTCCCTCCTGCAGGAGCTGAGATCTGCAGCGCGAGCACTGAGGACTTGCAGCCAGAGCTTGCTCCAGCCCCAGCTGTCAGTAATCCCCACTAACGATTCCTCTCCTGGGGGCACAGATGTGAAGTGGAGCAAGGCTGCTGTTTGCAGCAGGAGTCGAGTCTCCTTGATCTCCATCTGGGCAGCGGGGCTTTGCCAGAGCCACCCTCTGGTGTACAAGTCCTTGCTG